ATCAAGACTCGATTCGGCCGCAAGGATGCCGAATCCTCCGCCGACTCCGTGGAATCTCAGGTGGGCCGCCTCCCGGACGGCGACAAGGAGATTGATCACCTTCGGGAGATCTTCGCCCCAAAGGGCTTCAGTGACAAGGAGATCGTGGCCCTCTCGGGTGCGCACACCGTCGGAAAGTGCCACTTGGATCGCTCCGGCTTCGACGGCCCTTGGACAGAGGAACCCTTGAAGTTCGACAACAGCTACTTCAAGGACATGCTAGCAAAGGAGTGGACTGACGACAAGACGGAAAAGGGCAACCCTCAGTTCAAGAGTGAGAGTGGCACCATCATGCTCATCTCCGACCTGGCTTTGCTTAAGGATCCCGCCTTCAAGGAGCATGTCGAGAAGTATGCGGCCGACCAGGACGCGTACTTCGCGGACTTCACCACGGCCTGGGTGAAGCTGCAGGAGAACGGCTGCTCCGACCTGCGGGACAGCCTTTGAACACTGTCCAGTTAGTCCGTTTTCGAGCCGTTCACACACGCGTATCCACCTTGCAGTGAGACATGTGAGCGGCGATAATTTTCTTTCGCATCTATAAGTCGCTACCTTTAGCAGACCAAAGCCACCGTCCAGCTGGAAGAAGCGGAAAAGTGCATCCACTAAGGAACAACTGATTAAGTGTTCAACGTGCCACAGGCATTGCCTTGAGAGCTGTTTCCGAGACGAGAAGCAGTGAGTTAGACTTGAGGGGCTTTGGGTTAAGGTTTATAGGGCTTATAATCGTAAAGTTTTACCTTCCGTTTCCCTGGCCTATTGGGGAAGCAGTCAGGTGTACCAGAATTTCAGAATTTACGTTACCATAAGTTACCATAATTCAGGGTTCTTGTCAGGGCTCTACTAGGGTTCTAGAAGGGTTTAGGGTTTACCTCAAACAGGGTCACATGGTCCCCAAAACATGGGTATGCGGGGTCTGATAGAGAGTAGATGGAGGGTCGAGATAGAACCATTACTACAGGGCTACTGGTGTATATTCTACTCTAACTCCCGCTAGGTTTTCTAAGGAATCATGTGAGAATCTTTATTACTAGCTGCGACCCTTTGTTGCTCTAGGCCTTAAATGGCATCGCCTCGATTGTTTCTCGAGGTTCCCATACTTGCATGCCGCGGAAATTGATAGGGCTCGTACGACGAGCTTACCATTCAAAGCCCCTTGAAGCACGAATGCTGCAATTCCAAAGCTCACACTCTGAAATGTAAAGGTTCAACTTCAGCGTGCAGTTGGTCCTGCTCCATGGTGGGCACTTGCAGAACCTGGACACCTTCAACCAGCCCCCGGGCACGAACCTCTAGGTTTAAGGGTCAAGGATTCATTGGGGTTACTGTTGCCGGTCTAGCGCAAGGTAATTCCACAGCTGTGTGTGATGCGTCCAAGATTCAAGTTACATATACGCACGCACGTATGCACGCACACGCACGCACGCACGCACGCACAACGCACACAAGCACACCCCACCCTCACCCCCACCCCAACAGAGACACACACACACAGACACACACACACACACAGCCACACACACACACACACAGCCACACACACACACACACACCCACACACCCACACACACCCACACACACGCACACACACACACACACTCGCGCGCGCACCTGCATGCAGACATACGCACATACATACATACATACATACATACATACATACAGTCAGTCATTCATTCATTCATTCATTCATTCATTCATCCAATCTATCATTCTTTCATTCAATCTTACATTCATACATACATTCATTCATTCATACGTACGTGCATACGTACGCAGATACGTACACACACACATAAATACATACATACATTCATACATTCATATACAATGCAGACATGCCTACGTACATACTGACTTACATACATACATTCATTCATTAGTTCATCCATTCATTCGTTCATATGAACATACAGACCTGCATGCATACACATACATAACCATGCATGCGTGTACACATGACCGGTTATTACCTATTGCGACCTAGTATAGTCATGTTGCGATTCCTGTTGTGTTTAAAGCAACTGGCCGCGTACTTGCGGATTAAACTGGGGAGAGATACGGAAATCAGGGCGTAACGTTTTACAACACAGCACAACACAGCATACTTGCATGGCATGCAACATGTCTTCATGTTCAACGCACTGTTCAAGTTCAGCGTTTCGCGGTTTGGGGTTGTTTCTAGGATTCACAGAGTCTCGAAGCCAGTTCCTAGCATCTCGTTCTACATTAATCCCCCCGCTCCCGGCCTACTTTTATGAAGCCCACAGCTACTCCTGAAACCCTGGTTTCAGCCATTCGTCCATTAGAAGCAGCTGAGGACGGAGGGTTCAGGTTCGGGATGTCACTCTCTCGAACTCAGTCAGAACATAGGTCTGCTGTATACTCCCGATGTGCCGATGTGATATGCGTAAAGGTAGATAGATGGATTTGTAGATGTTGGGGCCGCCTCAGGATCTTGGACATGAAGAAGTACTCGCCGAGCCGAGCCATTTGGGGCACTCGCCACTTCTTCTGCGCCGTGATCTCCAAGGATGCATGCGGAAGGGTTCAGGGTTCAGGCTTGCAGGTCATGGCTTCAGTAAACCCTAAACCATCCTAAACCCCTAAACCATCCTAAAATGGTCCTAAGCCCCTAAACCCATAAACCCTAAACCCTAAGAGGGAAAGCCGAAACCTTATAAGAGCTTCGGGTTCCTGGTGCGTGTGCAGTGGTGCAGTGGGGTGCTGGCATAGATCCGGTCCAGGTTGAAGCATTCGTCGCATCTTTAGGGGTTTTAGGGTTATGGGTTTAGGGTGATTAGGGTTTAGGGTTATCAGGGTTTAGGTGTTTAGGATTTAGGGCTGAGGGGTTTAGGGGGTTTAGGAGGGCTTCAGGTTTGAAGGGTTTTTGTGTTTCGGGTTTCGAAGTGGAAGGTAGCTGTTGGAGATCCAAGAGCGACAAGCGCTGGCTGCAACCGTAAATACCACGCACACACAATCAACAAATAAATATAAATATATAAATAAATATATATATATATATTATGGTACCTATATCATATGCATTAACATATATTATACACAGACACACACACATATATATATATATGTATGTATGTGTGTATGTATGCATGCATGCATGCATGGATGTATGTACGTATGTATGTATGTATGCATGTACGTATGTATATATCTGTATATATATATACATATATATATATACATATGACTATACTTTAGTCTACATCATTATAAACCATGATATAGTTGCTTTTCTTTTTTGCCTTAGCAGCTCTGCAATGCCCCACATCTGACCATGAGCGCAACAAAGCGGTAAGCCTTACCCAGCAAATCTCCAGAAGCACCAACAGTCCTTGGCCTTCAACATGCGGTTTAGGGTTAACCCTCAACCCTAAATCCAGTGTAGGAGCTGCTGTTGAATGGTGCCTATGAGCTGCCGTACAACATGCCACCAGGGCTGGCATCCACACGAGGCACGGAATTAGGTTTTTGGAGGGTTCCGAGCCAAGTGTTTTTTGTGGTAACGGTTTCTGAATGGGTTCTCTGAACAAATGCGTGAGCCCTGGCCATGATCCTTCAGTAAGTGATATCCGTCTAAACGCCACTAGTCACTAGGATGCTGGGTTGCTGCTGATGTTGCAGATTCGTGACTCGCATCTTCACGTGAGAACCCCCAGAAGCATGTGTCAGAAAGGGCCGCTGTTATCCGTACTTGCAGAGTAGCTATAGGTAAGCTTCAAGCTGTTTGAGGTATTAGAACCCTTATTCTAAACATCCCAAAGGCTCGCCTTCAGTTCGCCTAGGATACTGGACAGTAAGCATCACTGGTACCTGTATTCTCCATTGTAGTTCCTTTATAAACACGATTTTGTATCTAGGAGCCTATACCGTAGCCCAAAAGAGGAACTACGGTGGAGACTATACATAGGGAACCATAAGGAGGAACTCTTCAAGCCTCGACAAGCTCTTGAAGCAAGGCAAGCTTCCGAGTCTAATGTAGGGGCCTGCTTCGTTGCTGATACTATATACCCCTTGGGGCTCCTTGTTCTGATGGTACCCCTTTGGGCTCCTGGGTTTAAGACATGTATATATATATACATACATGTAAATAATATACGCCACGGCCCGGTTCTGGTTCTCAAAGCATGTTTTAAAGCCCTTGCTGAAGGCGAAGGGCCAAGGGAATCAAGGGCTTCTTGGTTTGTTGATACCTCAAGCGCCGATAGCCAGACCAAACATAACCCTTGTGACCAGTACTATCAAAACTAGTATTACTAATGTTACTGTTATAACTAGTACTAAGACTTGTTTTAGTTTCTAATTATCTTGGTTATTGCCTAATTTTATCACTGTTATTGCTATTATGTTTGTTCTTAGTGTTATTGTCATTATACTGAATAATACTGTTCTTATGTGCTTTTCTGGAGCTTACTAAGCTCAGCCCTATATCCCTAAACTCTATAACCGGCGAGCCCATAAGCCCCAACGTCGCTAAACCCGAAGGCCCCTCCCGTCGTCCCTAAACCCCGAACGCCACTAAAGCCCACTAAGCCACTAAGCCAATGAATCCCAAGGTCCCTAAAGACCCTAAGCCGACTTAAACCCGAAGGTCCTTAAGGCCTTCCTTAATTACAGTTACAGGGTTTATGTAGAAGGCCCCTATATTACAGTCCCTGAACTGCAGAGCGCCTGGTTCGCGCCCCAAAGTGCTCAAGCCCCTACCCAGACCCCCTCGGAGGATCCGAAAAAGATCTTTTGAAGGTGTTCCTAAGTGCACTGTAGTGCTGCGGGCTCCCAAAATAAGAGATATACTTTCTAAACTCTTATCGGGGTCCTAAATTCTACACCCTACACCGAGTCTGGGTAGAGTCGAACGAAGGCCATCCTGGTCTGACGATCAGTTTGACGGGGCTCCCTGGTTGCACAAAGGAGAGAGAGATATTTTCGTGCTTTTGGGGATCATTGGTGTCAGTCACGTCATCAAAAAGCGCATGGGTAGTTCTCTAAATTAGGGTCCCTGGTGGGGTCCTATGCCGTACTATCTTGGGGAGCCAAAAAGGAACCCTGATTTTGGTGCTTGGGGCAAGCGTACTCCCCTACATTCGAGAATCTGAGCCCTCTCAGTTCGGCATTCCCCAGCGGAGGTTGGGAGGCGGCTTGGAGAATCAGCCGCAGACGGCAGCTCGGCGGAGGGCGGTTTTGGGGTACACAAAAACGGGTTCTACCAGGGACTGAGGGCTTTCTGGGCTTCGGGGTGCCGACACTGAGAACCGCTCTTCAGAGATTAGAGAATTGCAGGGCTCATGAAGCAAAAGAGAAACACATAAAGATGTAAGCGCAGGAACATGAAGCAGACTTCGTCTTCGTACTCATAGCTCTTTATGCGGGTTGGTACACTGAAAGTTAGTTGGGGTAATGATTGTTACAGTGATGGGATGATTCATAGTCAGCGAAACTGCAGCGCCAGAATGGCCACGACTACGTGACGGTTCAGGTCGTAGGGTTTATGGGCTTAGGGTTCAGAGTCATGGGGCCTTGTAGGTTTCCTGCGCGCAGTACCTCGAAGCCTGTCGCTTGGACCTCTGATCTGAATCCTACCTATAGTCTCCATTGTAGTTCCTTTTTGGGGCTACGTTTTAGGATCCTTAACATAATATTTGGTTAAACCAACAAAAGGAACTACAATGGAGACTATAGGTAGATTCCGAAACCTGACAACTGTTCGCCAATCGTGGTGAGGGCCAGCGATTCTGCCTTTTGAGAGATCTCGGTAAGAAGACATACGTTCAGACCCTTTTTGTGCTGCGGGGGGGGAGGGGGACCATTGCCCCAATCCTTAAACCCAAAAACTAAACCTTTGAACCCTAACTTCTAAATCTATGAACCCAGTTAGATGCTCCGACATCTCCTTTCCGACAACTCTCATGGTGACACAGCCTTGGGTCTCTTTGGGATCTCGGAGTCTGTAGCTTTCATGTGAGCATCAGGACCCTTGGTCGTGTACTATATGAAATGAAATGATGATCTTCTCGTTTTGTGTTATTATACAGTCGTAGGTAAACGTACATACATGAGTATATATAGAGATATGGCGATACACACGTGCATAGCGCCTATACATACAGATATATATATATATATGTGTGTGTATATATATATAATATACACATGTTTGTTTGTGTATGTCTTTGTTCTTTCAAGACCTATTTGTAACATCTAGAGTCAACTCCAGGTCTCGAGCCATGTGTCAGCATGTCGCACGAGGTCCAGTATGATGGTGATCTTGCTCTCGCAGAGCTGGACAAAGGTGGACAGGCCCTTCGTGTTTGGGGTTTGGGGGCGTGGGGGTTTGTAGATCACGGTGTTTAGAACCACAGAAGAGAATACTTGGTAATGCGACTCTCTCTCCGTCGGTCTGCGGCTCCAGCATTGCCATAATGGCAACCAGTAGTGTAGTTTTGGCGTTGGTCCCTGAGTGTTCTTCCCCTGCTGCTTCTAGCGGTCGATCAGCTACTCTTCTGTCAGAATCGCAAGCCTATTGTTGTGTGCTCATCGAGCCTTCCGGTAGCCCTAAACCCTAAACCTCAGCGCAGCTGGAAGGCTTTCTGGCAGTCGCAAGGATTCGACACAGCATCTCGGCATGAATTGGAGGTTAGGTGGCAATTGGTTGCGCTTTAGGGTTGATGGTTGGTCACTAGCACATGGTGTCTGTTGAGAGTAACGCAGCTTTTGTTGCGGGTAGGCGCACTGACCTGACAGCGAGCCGTAATACCCTCCCTAGATCTAGACCGCGTCCTGTGTTGGCAATCTCAAAAACTGCAAGCCACATTGACATATGTGCGTCTCCTTCCTGCGCCTTCCGCCCGGCTTATAACTCCTAAGCCCCAAGCCCTATAGCCCGAAACTAACCTTCAAACCCCAAGCCCTAAACCCAAGAACAAACCCCTGAACCCTAGACCCCAAGCCATCTGGCTTCAGTTCCTTGTGGATGTTCTTGGACAAATAACATGCATAGATTGTCAAAGTTACTTCTGGTGCAGTTGTAAGCGATTTACTCTGGAAGCCTGAAGGCTGACCAATCTGTAAGGGTTTGGGGTTTAGGGTTCAGGGATGTTCAGGGTTTAAGGGTTCAGGGGGTTCGGGGTTTAGAGTTCAGGGTTTAGGGTTTTGGTTTGGTTCAATTAAAAAAGGCTTAGGGCCCAAATAGTAGATACTTTGGCCCCAAAGTACCTACATAGGGACGACTCGACGACTTTAAGGCCAAAGTGTTTAGTGTTTGGGTACATGGACCCTTAGGGAATATGAATATCTCGGGTTTCCTCACTCTAACTACCCTTAGGGTCCAAAGGACCCGATAATTCGTACTTAGATTTGGCATTTAGTAGTTAGGTGGGTTTATTTAGGGAGAGTATATGATTATTCGATACTTGGACCCTTAGGGTTAACAACACTATCATTCTAAAATGATATACCGCAAGACCCTATCATATTATGGTTCAGGCCCCTAGGTTACACAAGGCCACCCTGCTATGTGGGTGTGGGTTCATGCGCGCCATGCGGGCTTCTCCGCCCTTAGCCTGGAAATCCTGCGCCCTCTCGAAGCCGGGGACGCCCGCAAGACCTGGAAAAGTAAAGCCCTAAGCTTCTTAAGGGGTTGATGGGGTTTTGGTTTTAGGGAGTTTGATGTCCCAAACAACACTAAGCCCAGGCACTAATTCCGACACCCGCTAAACAATAGGGGTCAGAAGAACTACTAGAACTATTCCTCTGCGTTCCTCATTCATTATTAACTGTCACTTTGTATACTATACCGACTATACCCCAAACCTTCCCTAAACAGATCGGATCATATATGTTAAGGCCCTCAGATTGACCTCATGCTTCAGGTTGCCTTGCCCTGGCTCCCCTTCTTTTCCAACTGCGAGGGGCAACTGGTCCGAGATGACACGTTTCAGAAGTCAGGGCTCCAAAATTACAAAGCATGATTCTAATCTAGGCTTAGCCCCTTTGCCGCTGCTTCACAGTCCAGTGCAAGTACTCAACAAGTGTCTCCAGACCCTGAACCCTTTTGTAGAAGCTAGAAAGCTGGAACATCAC